TTACCGATGTCATTTGCTGGTTGTGATACTGTTCTATTATGCGAGACTTGGTCATTGTGGGAAACTGGGTAAAGGGCATATAGGACCTCTCTGTATCATTTCTTTCCACTGCATGTGAATCTATAATTACCTCAAAATAAAAAGTTTTTTTCTAAAGATATAAAATTTAAAACTATCTAGATAGCTATCAATTACTAAATTCTGTTTGGAACCAATAAAGAAAATTTCCTTTTCTTTTTTGTCATTTTCTATTCCCACTCCTGAGTGTATCTGTTTCTCTTGGTGTCCAAGCTATGACCCTGGGGCTTGAAGACCAGAACTGTGAGTCTTCATCTTGGGGCAGCCTTGAGGAGCCTGAGGAAGCAAACCACGTCACCTTCCACTTTTTCAAAGCCAGCAGGGACCATGGAGTTTGAAGAGGTAAAACAAAACAGATACCCATATTTGCCTGGAGAATACAGCTGTCTACAAGATCATTCGATGCTTACAAGATTTTAGGTTAATTACTTTCACTCTCCTAAATCAACAAAAGCAACCAAAGGAGTAAGTTCCATGGAAACGATGAGCTTTGAGTGGGAAAGGAAGGTCTGGCTTGCTAAAGCACACTGCACATCCCAGCTGCTGCATCTGCAAGGCTAGCCTGTCCAGTTAAACCAGAATGCCAGCCACAGATCTAACTTGACATTTTTCTAGTAGCCACACTTCAAAAGGTTAAAAGAAACAGGTAAAATTAATATTAAAAATGTATTTTATTTAATGGCCAACAAGCATATGAAAAGATGCTCAACATCACTAATCGTTAGGAACACAAATCAAAATACAATGAGATGTCACCTCACACCCATTAGGATTGTTGCTATCAAAAATAAAACAAGTGTCAGTGAAGATGTGGAGAAACGGGTACCCTTGTGCACTGTTGGTGGGAATATAAAACAGGGCAGCCACTACAGAAAAACAGTATGCAGGTTCCTCAAAAATTTAAAATAGAACTACCACATGATCCAGCAATTCCACTTCTGGGTATTTATCCAAAAGAATGGAAAGTAGGATCTCGAAGAAGTATTTGCATACCCATATCCATAGTGACATTATTCACACTAGCGAAGAGATGGAAGCAACCCAAGTGTCCACTGATGGATGAACGGATAAAGAAAACGTGGTCTATACACACAATGGAATATTATTCAGCCTTAAAAAGGAAGAAAATTCTGACACATGCTACAACATGGATGAACCTTGGGGACGTTATGCTAAGTGAAATGAGCCAGTAACAAAAGGACAAATATTGTATGATTTTGCTTACACGAAGTACCTACAATACTCAAAGTCACAGACGCAGATAAAATGGAGGTTGCTAGGAGCTGGAAGGAGGGGAAATGGGAGTTGTTGTTTAATGAGTAAGTTTCAGTTTTGCAAGATGAAAAAGTTCTGGGAATCGGTTGCACAACAATGTGAATATACTTAACACTACTGAAATGGTTAAGATGGTAAGTTTTATGAGTTTTTTACAATAAAAAAAATATTTTATTTTACCCAATATACCCAAAATATCTCAACATATAATTAATATGAAAATGACTGAGATATTTTACATTCTTTTTTATGTACTAAGTCTTCAAACTCCAGTATGAATTGACACTGACAGCACAGCTCAATTTGGACAGTCCCATTTTAAATGCTCAATAGCCACATGTGGCTTCCCTCCTGGGCCTCTGCTGAACTTACCTGTCACCCCACATGACAAACCTTATAGCTAGATCCAAATAATTAAAACTACGTGGGCGGGGGGCAGGGTCTTTTTCTTGCTACCAGACTTTTTTTGAAATCTTATTTGTCCTCAGTTAGCCCTATGGAAAGACTGATGGGGAGAGCTCCAATGACGGTGAACATCTGAGCAGCTCCTCTTTGTCAGGCCCTCGTTAGGATTTGCAGGACATCATGCCTTCCCTCAGAGAGCTCACAATCTAAGAGAGGTCAGACAGTTACCAGCTACAAGAGGAGTACACACAAGACACTGAGGGATGCAAAGAACAACACATCCAACTCCCACCCCTGGATTCTGATGTGCCAGAGAGCAAGCATAAAGTTTAAGTCATTTATCAAAATGAAACGTGGGAGTTGTTAATTCACCCATATCCTCGCCTTTCCCAACTCTTATTTCCAATTGCACTGACTACACCTTCCAAGTACGAATTTGTACGGAATTTAGTACACAATTTGTATTAAAAACACACATGGCATATGCACACTCACTAGAAAAGGCCCTCAGCAAATCAACACCTCCACCAGTGATTTTGATAAAAATAATCAGTCCTTCACTGACTAAGAGAGCATCGGTCAAGTTAATCCTCCCAGAGTGTAAGGACACAAAAATTCGGTAAAAGTGAAAAAAATTTCTCTCTCACAGACAAATATTCTTTGAACACATCTTCAGAAACATCTGGGATATGGGGGAAAACATGAAGATGTTTCTAGTACCAACATCTAACTGCTGTACATTCCAGACAAGAATCTACTTTCTCGTTAGAACAAAGATGCCGAGAACAGAACTGACAGATACACTGTTCTCTACCCAAAGTTGCAGAGCAGAAAACTATTCTGTGGATGAAGGAGCTCCCAGCTAAGGAGAACCTCTTTATAATCTCACATTCGTGTTGCACTGGTTGAAACCAATCATAAACACTTCTTTGTGAAAAATGTATTCTGCAATCAATTCTCAAAAGCTTCATTGAAGATCTTAATGGATACGGTTGAAAAAGGAATATTAAACATGGCCAAAGAGAAGACAACCAAAACTTATCAACTCAGCATATTTGAGCAGTCTTCAGGCCCTGAACTACTGTAAGAATAGCCAGGAAAAAAAGTCATGGACTACTAAGATTGTAAATTTTATTCCTCAATTTAATGAACTCACATATGACTAAGTCCTCTCCCCCGCCCCCAATGATTTCCCCCTCTCCTCACCGCATTCATCCCCTCCCCAAGCAAATCTCCCAAGAACTTAATATACTGGAAACTTACCTTGGTGCATTAACTTCAGACAAACTCCTTATAACTTATCATTTAATCCTCTGCATTAAGCTCTAAATTATCACACCAATCTACTGGAATGTAGTTAATACTATAAAATGACACCTCAGGATCCATTACCGTACTTCACAGGTATAACCATAACTTTGCTTGATAATTCAGATTGTGATCTCTAAAGCTCTACGTCTGTCATCTCAGGTAACAGTGCTTACCTTATAATTAGCTCGCTAAATAGTATGTCACCAGAAAAAGCACTCATGCCTGTCCTTACATTAAAAAATACACTAACTCACCCACTATTCCTGTGCATTAAGCCACCACGTGTAGCCTGATTTGTAGGTCTGCAGTGAAAAACTCTAATAGCTTCCAAAAGATCCTTAAAATACATAGATTTTTAAATATACACCTGATAAGACCCTGTTAACTCATTTGGTAAGCAAGAATGCTGTAGGTTCAGATACTCAGGAGCATTTTCACGGGCAGAAAAACATTTGCAAGCACCAAGAACTTCTAAGCCTGAAATGAGTTCAGGAGCTGCAGTAACAGCAAAAACTAAAGTAATAAAACTTCTAGCTCCCTTCCCTAAGGAGGGTCCTAATAAAGCATTTAGCAGGAGATGCAGAACCAACATGTAGAGCACTGGTGTTCTGCCATTTCTCAGGTGTGCTGAAACTGACAAGTAACCAACCCTGCAAGGTTCTAACTTTGTAACACTGGGGCAGACCTGCATGGTTTACCTCCTTGAAGACCATGTAGACAGAACCCTACAGTATTTGCAAATGCAAGATCTGTCATCATGTTTCAGCAGTCAAGTGTCTAGCCTGATGACTTTGTTTTAGCTAGCCTTTGGCACGGTAAGTGTGATCTACACTTTAATAGAACCCATACTGGATTTCTTAATCAATAACGCTGCTGAATTACTTATATCTCGTTAATACAGGAAGGGCAAATATGAAAAAATGGTAAATGAGATTCTGGTGAATCCTGATCAAGACATGACCCTTTTCCATAAGCGGGGAACAGTCATTTGAACCAATATAGTCTCACCCCCTACACCAGGGTCGGAGAACTGCTCAAGGGTCAAATCAGGCCTGCAGATGTTTGTATCTGGCTTGAACAGCGCTTTCAAAGTTCTAAATTAGTGCCAATGTTTAAACATCAGGATATCTGGCATGAAAATCTGCATTCTTGGATTATTTCGCACTATAGGAAAACCTACCACTCTGAGACCACACACCCTCCCAGCCACAATTGGGAGTAGCCCTAATGTAGATGGGGCAAATGCTCTCCAATGTGCCACGATCCCGCCCCCTAGGTCAGTTCCCTCCCTGATGGCATCGCCAGGCTTTTCTGGGCATTTGTGTTTACCACCTCTGGTTCAGACCCTAAAACTGTCTTTAATCCCTGAAACAAAAACCCACAGGCTAATCTTATCAGCACTATGTCCAAGCTCTCTGAGCAAACAAAATAAGCCCAAAGAAGAATCTGAGTAGAAAACAAACCATTTTCATGGCTCTATGTTGGCCCTGCCTATATGAACTAGCTCATTTTTTTAAACTGTCGTTTTTGGAAATGATTAACCTGTCTCATCTCTTTCTTTACACTTTTGGTTATGTTATTAAGCTATCTGCTGTAACCGACTGAGTCCCCCTCAAGAGGAATGTCATTAATAAGTAAGTCTTGGTGGCTAGAACAACTTGCCACGGTTACACACTTTCATGAAGGCAGTCAGGATTCCAGCTTTACTGCCCAAAAGGCCAATGCTTGGACCTCAACTCATCGCTGTCACAAAACTTGGTAACATTTCTCAAAAATGTTGGTTTGATGTATTATTTGAGATATCCTCCATTTCCATCAAGATGTGGAATCAATCCGTAAAAGGGTTCTAAAAAGGGGCCTTAAATCCTACACACAGCCTTAAACAGATAAACAACCGCACATCAACTGCCTCTTACCCGGGCAATGCTTACCCATTGCACTGAGATAATGGTTGAAGGCCTGGCAAGGAGGACTTGGGGTTTGTGTTGATTTGTCACAACTCATGGGTGCCGGGCTCCTGTCTGTGTCAAAAGAGAAATACCCACTGGAGGATCGAGACAGCAGGGAGGATCTTCTCACAAAGATGAAAAACGGGGATCTGGTAGCAAAAGGGCCAGGGCTGGCCGGTGGGGCCAGCGGGCCCTGAGGGCTGCCTTGGGGGCAGCGGTCCCCTTCGCCTTCAGGATTACCTTGCTGCTCTGTGTGTAGCGAGGTAGGGGCCCCAGGCCTGAGCTGAGGAGGCCTCTCAGCAGGCTGCAATTGTCCACCTTCTCTGTCACACTCAGAACTTACATCTGAAGGTTGCTTTGCCATCTGGTCTTTTTTTCTGCAAGTAAAATAAAAACTAAGATTACCTTAAGCAAAATAATAATGACAACGAATAAATAAATTAGCTAACTTCCCCCTATTCGTTGAAACTTGTTCAAGTTAATACTAAATACTCTGTCATTACTTTGTATACTTCGCTGACAATCTTCCAAATAAGAATAAAAATACACCTAAAATAACAAAGGTATCATTATCTTTGTGGGGGAGGGGGGCTGAACTTCCTGCCACCAAACAAAACACAGAAACAACGTCAATTACTTGCGAACTAGCGCTCCAACACACACGCACTCTCTCTCTCTTTCTCTCTCTCAAGTTTTAGGAGAAGCAGCTCTTCTGAGGTCTATTCACATGTGCTCTCTGCTCAGGGCCAACTCGCATAAGTCTGAAACTCCCAGCGGGCTCTGATTTCCCGGGATCAGAACCCGCTCTGGAGCACAGGAGCGGGCGCAGATGCAGCGCTCGCAAGCGCCTGGCCGCGCTCCCCGCTCCGGCCCCATTGTTCTGCCGAAAGTGCTGAGGGCAGCAAGTCTGGGGAAGGTTTGGCAAGGGCCGTCAGTCGTAGTAAGTGCGTCACAATAGAGTTTGTAACTCAGAGCGCGGCTCGGCCCGGCTCCGGCGCTCTCCGCCCGCGGTCTCTCCCGCTCCCGGCCCGCGCGCCCCTCCTCCCGCGGGGGCCAGCGCGCCGCACCGAACCGGACAGAACTTCTCCAAAGTACACCCGCAGTTAGGTGCACACCTCCAAACGGGGAGGTCCCCGCAGCCGTCCCCCGGTGCCCCCTGCAAAGTCCACAAGTAACTCTGCACGCGAGGCGACACCCGGCGCGCGGCTCCTTCACCCCCAAGGCCCTCCCCGACTGGAGGCAATCAGGCCGAAACTCACGTCCGCCCCTTCCCTTCGGAGCGTCGAGTCCGGGCCTCGGCCCCGCGGCGTCCAGCCCGCGCCTTTCGCCGACCCGGAGCCCCGTGGCTGTCGCCACGAAGGCAGCGCGGGAAACAAAGCCCGGGACTCGCGTTCAGAGCCCCCGGGCCGGCACAGAGCCTGCAACTTGCCGCCCGCCCGCCGCCGCCGCGCTCCGCCGGGCAGCC